AATATCCATTATAACATTAAGTGTAAATGCTCTTCTCAGTTCTCTGGTTTACTCTGCATGGGGAACAATACAATCACATTTTAGTGACAATACTTCTACCGTCTACTATTATTTATTGGTATTCTGTAAATATTGTTTTATTTGAATTACGTAACTGAAATCTTAAACGAAAAACTTTTCTCCCGGCAATTATGTCCCCCATTCGTTTGCAGAAAAATAAAAAAATACATTACAGAAAAAACTGTGTTTGTTTCAAGTATTTTGATAGATAAATATATGGTGGTACAAAAGTACAAATATTATACTTTCAAGATTTTTTTGAAAAATCATTTGTTACTCAAGCAATTAGCTATTAATTTATCTAATAATTAGATATTATAGGTATTACTGTATTAGGTACATCATTATTACAATATTTTTTTTTGGGGGGGGGATAAGAAATACATTTAGGTACAATCTGTATACAACTTAATACAATAAGTAAATTTGATATCTTATGCAATATACTAGGCGTTTAGACATGAGAGAAGGAAAGGAGGCATCCAATGACACTATTTCGATAATAATAAATTCTATTTTTGTTTAATTTAATGATTATTTCATTTAGTAGTTAATTGTTAGAGGTAATGAGCTTGTTAATGACTGTGATCAGGAGTGACATGACTATATGAGGTGAATAATTACTGCTTTGAGTACAAAGCAATGTATTATTTTACAGAATATAATTAACTGCTATTACCTACATTCAAACATTCAACTATTTAAGCCAATAGGTATTGACATACCAAGTAAATAGGTTTTTGTTTTTTATTATTTATATCGCTTCCAGTACAAGACTATTACAGCTCGATAATTACAAAAGACGAGGGGCGGACTGGGCCGAAGGGCAAGTGGGTGATCGCCCCCTGGGCTGTTATGATTGCGGGCCCTCACAGGTTTATTGTGCCAGTGGACAGTGATTATTTTGTCAGTAGGTACCTACTTTATGCAATCTAAAAAACTGTAGCTTAGTACTAATCCCTTCTGTCTAAGCTATTGCCATTAAAAAATGTATATTTGTGTAATTTTTGGGCCTTTACCTATGATCGCCAGGCCCGATTTTTTACCCCAGTCCACCCCTGCAAAAGACATACACATATACGGACAATATTACACGAAAATCTATAAATATCTTACATGATAGCAATAGTATAACGTAACATAAAAATATTAGATTGCTTGCACAATTTCAAAGTATATAGAAATGATAAATACAGTTAGATAATGAGTTGTAAGTACCTAGTAGGTACTGAAATATTATTTATGGAGATAAATGTATAATAGCCTAAATATTATGCCTATTAGCTTTCGAAAGCGCCGGGAGAAAAGAAAAGAAAAATTAAGGAAAACGGAAATTTTTACACAAAATCGGTTATTGACAAAATTGATTTTGGTTTTTGGTGTAACTCTAAAATAAATTACCATAGATACATACAATTATCACTGGTTGCCAATTTTCTTAGTTTTATTTTCTATGAATGTCAATAAAATTTTATTTGTAGGGTAAAAAAGCTTGAAAATGTAATATAATAAGGCTCTTAATATATTGTTACAATGACATTTGAAAAATATTAAAATCCATAATCACAATTTTATTTTTAAAAATTACGAAAATGTGCAATAAATTTTGAATTGGAAATTCCTAAAAAATTTATTTTTAAATCTAAGATTTTAAAATGTTATACAAGATTTTTATAAGGTTATCTACCATTATCAAAAAAAAAGTCTATAATAAATAAGAAAGTCAAATTAAATTTTTATGAACGTTTTACGAAATTTATTTGTGATAATCTACACCTCTCTCTGAAGTCTTATTTAGGGAGAGCTGACGGTAAGAGCGATCACCCAAAATAGCACTTTTATGTACGTATATAACTGCGCTTATAATAATTATTATAATAAAAGTTGAATACCATTACAGTATTATTATTATTTAACCCTTATTCTAATCTGAGCTTATTTTCTAATCATTATAAATGGATTTTTATTTAACATATTAACCTATATACCTGTTACATTGCATTTAATTGGATTTAATTATTTCTACATTTTCTAAGTTATAAAATTGTTGATCATTATCATAAGTCATAACCATTGGATAAATATCTGTTTATTTTTCATTGATAAATTGGTTTTTCCTATTGAATTATAATTAATATACAGACATACAGTATATACACTAACATACTTTAAACAGTTAGCTTTTCCCTGGATAAATGTTATTATGATACCTACATGTAAGCTACATTCACAATATATAGAAAAAACATAATATTGCAAACTGAAATTAAATAAGCCAAATACCTAGGTAGGTACCTAGTTTGAAGTGGTTGACGTCTATTAACCCTTAAAAACAAATTATGGTTCTTTCTTTTTTTATATTTATAGATACCTTTAATATATTATTATGTACCTACCTATACATATATTATGTCAACTCTAACTATCAACAAATTAAAATAATAATAATTGGAAAATAATTATGCAACTATATTGGTCAACTATTCCACTCGTAACCAAACTTTAAATACTTATGAGGAACTAATCAGAGATGGTTGATCTTCTTGGGTAGCACTTTTTTATGTTGTTTGAAAACTTTTATTATTTTATTAATCTCGTTATTATTCGCCGATCATGTAACGACGAACTGAAAAGCAATCTATGTCCTGAGGGCTGTAATGCTCTTTGATAATAAAATGTATTTATTTTCAAGAATGTACATTCATAATTATGAGGGAGAAGGGAATTAGCACCGAGGGGGGGAAATTCTAAATAAGTCTCTCTGGTCTAACAATCATTAAAATATAAATTATTATTTTAGATGACAAACCACTCGACAGATTATTGTTACACCATAGACTTAAAAAAATGTATGGGCACATTGGGAACATTTGAAATTTAGAACATTACTACTGTATTAATTATAATATTAAGTATTTTAATTAAATTATGATAATATGAATTTCTGGTTGTTTTATCTGTAATACCGTCATGGTCTCATGATATTTGAATACAAAATTAATTCATATAATTATACCCTAATCTGTAGTATAGGTACCTATACTGTGATCATAGCCGATAGGTACCTAGTTAAAAAATAGTTTACTCAATAAATCCTCAATTTTTAATAACATGAATACATAACAAAATTTTTGAAATATAATTTCGATGCCTTTCTTTAGAACTCATGAACGTATTAATTATTCGTATGCGATTAATGATAATGTATTGTTATTTAAAGGCAATGAGATTACTGATTTGGGTATTGTATTTTACTGTGAGGTTAATTTTCATGTTCACTTAGATAAAATGTGTTGTAAACTTGTAAAGCATCAAAAACTTTTGGATTATAAAAAGAATTTGAAATGTATTTAAACTAATATAAGTGACTCCTATAAAATCCTTATATTGTGCTTTTGTGAGGTCAATTTTGGAATATGGAGCTGTTGTGTCGGATCCTGATACCTCTTGCTGGATGAATCAAATTGAACTTGTTCAACGAAAGTTTCTTTAAATTAAAAATTGATCACCCACCATGACGCCATGACTATAATTCTCTATAGTTATGCACCCGTATTATGATGTAAAATTGTAAACACAGACCACAGACTGCATTACCTATACATACGGTATAGATGTATTATAGTACCAAAGAACAATGATAATATTATACTCTTTTCAGAATAAGAACGCACCAGGCGACTACGGGCAAAATCGGTTTTGCACTTTTGCTACCTACGTAAATATGGTGCCTTCTTATTCTGAAAAGAATGGGTATAGTACGAGTACCTAGTACTTATGTAGTACTTTATCATAGGCGCAAATAGGCAATAGCCAAATTATTTTGGGGTAACTTAAGCCCCTCCTATAATAAGTATTTTCTAAAAATTATGTAGGTATGCTCAGTACTAATTACTGATTTTTGAACTGGGGGGACTTGGCAGAAATATGGGGGGGACTAAGTCCCCCCCTATTTGCCCCAATGTACTCTATGGTAGGTACATAAATAATATATAACAAATATAAAACGTATACCTAACTGTTGTAACATAGACGTTATACACTTATACCTAAGTTATTAATACAGTATTCTGCACGCGATAAATTGTAACTGTTTTTAATTTTCTACAAATCATTAAGACGTAATTAAACAACCACAATATCATTTTTTATCAAAACGTTATTACAATATCACATACCTAATGATCAAAGTATTATTCATATTTTATATAATATTACCTATGCATAGTCACAATTAATAATTGTTAATAAATAATAATATATTTTGTTGTTGTAGTATCCAAAAAAGTAAAAAAGTACTACGTCAATTAACTTCCATTAGGTATGTATATGATTTCCACAAGCGTTGAAGTTCATCCCGGCTCTCAACCATAGCAGAATCAATAAATTATAATATTCTGTGATCGAATGATTGATACACATTCACAGAGTAATAATAATTGCAAGATAGTACTATCTAAAATCGTGATGTAAACGCCATTCAATCCACATATATATTATAAACATACGTATGTTTATATCATGAAATAACGTATGTTATAATAACGTATATTATAATAATAACGTATGTTTATCTAATGTTCATGGTTTATATATATTCTGTGATTCAATCACCTATTTACTGATAAGTGATAAAAATTAAAATATTGATAATAATAAATTTGAGTAATTTGACATACCGGCATACCGCGTACCTATTGGCTATTATTTTAAATAAAAATAGAGTGGACACAAATGTTGTTTGAATAATATTTAATAATGTATAATAATTTATGGTATTGTTTTATTTATAATTTGAATATGATAATATAGTTAACAGTGAGTGGTGTTAAATAAGTTATTAATGTGTTATGGTCACAGTTATATTGCATTATAATTTATAATCCATATCTGTGATTATAACTTATAGGTTTCTTTTTTGTGAGATTATTAAAAAAAAAATGTTTTATTTACAAATACCTGATATAAATGTACCAATATTCGATGTGGAAGATTCAGCTTTATCTCGTTTGGAACATTTTTCAACGTACGCTAAATTAAGTGACAAACCAAAATACTCTATGTATCTGAGAAACTCTACGCTTCTAGACTACACAGGATTTCTGTGCCTTAGGTAAACTTGTACTAAAAATAATGTTATGTGTTGTTAGGCAATAATAAATTTAAATAGTTTACTTACATGTAAAATTATTTTTATTATATTCTATTTAATTACTGTTGTAAATTGTAATACAACTATTACAATTTATAATCACTAAGTACTAATTTATTTTCATAAACATATAGACAAATTTTACTGTTTTGCTACCTATTTAGGATGAGTAAGTTTAATCGACATATAATATGAATACCTAAATTGAATATTTTTATTTAATACTGATAATAATAACTTATAGTACTTATACAAATAAAATCAAGTTAACTATATGCATACTATACCTAATAGTTAGGATAAAATTTAATTGAAACTCCTGCTAAGAGGACACTACCTATGCATTTGTTGTCTTCGTCTTACACAAGATAGAAAATTTCCAATCACTGGTTTGAAGTTTCAATTATAGTGTGCTGTTAGTTTTAATATTAGAGTGACCCATTATCTAACTTTTGGGTAAGAACATTATATGTGCTTAATAATATGCTTTTATTTTAAATTTTAATTTTCATGCGAGATATGAGCTTTTTAGTTTGTGATATAAGCATATCCATATCTTGCTTAAAAATTCAAATACCAAAAAAAAACAGATGCTTCAGCACACCGTGTGAATGAAAATTTGCTATGTCCATACATTTTTAAGGCAGTGACAACAAAGGTATGAGTATTGAGTAGAGTCCTCAATGAATTGGTTTGAAGGTACTTACCAAAACTCAACTTGTTTATGCAAGGCTCAAGGATGCCTGAAAATCCTAGATTATGCAAAAAACTGTATTATTATTACTAGGACCTAGAGTCCTAGATTATACCTAATGTAATTGCATATTATTTTATATTTGAATTAGAATATTAAATAAATGAAAAATATATTGTTTTAAATCAAATTCGAGTAGCTGTACAATTTATATTGAATTTTCTTCACATAGTTTGTTAAACTGTTACACAGTCTAGAATAATATGCTTAAAATTATAAATCTTCCTATAATTACCTATAGCTATCTAAATGCATAGTTTTGTTTAAAAATATAATTTAAATTATGTTTATAATTATTTGAATATATACTTACTTTTAAATGTAAATTTTAATAAATTGTATTATAGTTTATTGTTAAGAAGTTTTTATACAGTTTATTTTGGAGTCAAGATAATTATTTTGATTGAAAATGTTACAATTATAAATGACCAATGTTAATTAAAAGTTATATCTAGTGAACAATGTAAATTATAAATTTAACAGAATAATTTATGAAAATTACATTGATAGGATATATTTAGTAGGACCTTACAGTAAATATAATATATAATAAATACATTTTTGTATCGCATTCTGTTAAGATACAATTTAAAGAATATTATCCTTTAAAATTATAATATATAATTAATAATTATGATTTTCATGTTAGAGAGTTAGGTCTAAATAATTTGTTCAGTAAAATTGTTTTGTCTAATTATGCAATACATTGATATTTCCAGAACATATGCAAGTTTAACCGATGACCGCACATTAAAGGAGATGGTCATAGAAGGAGAATGCCGTTTAATCTCAGAACGTTTAAATTTATTGAAACCAAATTTTTTAAGAAAATACTTAATAAAAATAATAGATGATATTGGACTTTTTAGTGTTACTGATGATAATATTGATGTATTACTAAAAGTATGTTCAGAATACAAGGATAAGCAACATGTACCATGTAATGAATATTGTAGTACACATTCAATTGAAGGTTTGTTAATACAATTATTATTTATAACTGTTTAATATTTGACTAATTTAATTTAATTTTTTCAGTTCCTTGGCAAAAATGCACTACGTTAGTTTCCAATAGAAAAGTACAACTTAATCAAGGCATTGCCGTTGTACTCTGCAATCAATGGAATAGTTTATTAGTTGATTTATTTCGTTTAATTTATATCAAATCATTACATAAAATCCGTCGTTCTATGTCTGCCTTAGATAATACCAACTTACAATGGGAATATCTTAATGAGAAATTAAATAGGTATTATAATTCTAAAATAGCCTTTTGGAAAAATATTGAAGAACAGATATCTTTAGAGGAACTCAATTTAAACAAAATATTATTACCTCCTTGCATGTTATTGTCATTAAATTCATTATTCACAAACCATCGCCTTGCACATGATCCACGTTATCGATTGACATTGTTTTTAAAAGATATAGGAGTACCTTTAGATGAGACTTTAAAAATATTTCAACAGGAATATTCCAAGTGTGGAAATCTAAAAAGTACATGCACACATTCATGGGATGAACATAACAAACAAATAGAATACAATGTCCGTCATACTTACGGTACGGTGGGGTCAAAAAAAAATTATCAAATGACAACTTGTGTTTTAATGCAGGTATAATGAATCAACTTTTTTTAAAAATGTAGACAAGTTCTGATTGAAATAATTAAATTTTTTTTAGAAACAAAATATTCAAGTTTCTGATGAAGGCTGCTGTCCATTTGTGCATTGTAGTGAAGATAAATTAAAAAGTATCTTAGAAGAATTTACATCCATTAATGATGTAGAAATGAATATTTTAAATGATTTTAAAAATAGTGATCAACCTATCCAAGCATGTCATTGGTATGCACAAAAGTTGTTTCCTGCGTCAGAACCTCAATATCATAATACACCAACACAGTATTTTTTCAATTCAAAAAAAGTTAAAAATTGTCCTATAATAGATTAATAATATAGGTAGATATTACTAAATAATGTACAATAATAAATATACAGTAAACAAAATATGAATTTATTGTTTCCATCATAGTAATAACTAATAAATATTTATTAATATAAAATATATTTACACTAAATATTTTACAATTAAGAAATTAGTATTCACATCGCTAACTGTACATATAATAACAATATAATATATAGACACATTCATGAGTACTCGTGCATAACTGAATTTGGTGGTGTCCATCGGTAAACAAACTCACTCTTTGAATGATTGCCATGATGATTTTGTGATTTATTTTGAGAATTGCCATAAACTCCATAAGTGTCATCTGCTGATTCTTTCGGTGGTTGCCTATATGTTTCAGACCTATTACAACTTTGTGGATATATTCCTGGAAATATTTTAAAATGACAATAATATTAATGATTTCATTTCAATCTATTTTATAAGCTACAAACCATTATGGATGCCACTAGCGTTGACTTTTGCCAAATTCCTAGCACTATAATATGTGGGTTCATGTTGCCTTTGTTGATTCTGTTGATTTTGCCTATCGGGTCTATCTGTTCTATCATTGCATATTGAAGTGGCTGTCGTTGTCTGTGGAAACATTCCTTGTGCCGGTAATAATGGCCCGGGTCTTGGTAAGTAATCACGAGGTGGCAAGTTTTGGATGGATTTTGAATGGTACAGTGACTGTGAACGACTTAAATTTGCACGGGTTAAAACCGGTGAACGAGCGTATAACGATCTACTCCCTTCATACAAAGGCTCTGGCAAATCTAAATCAGCAGATAGCATTGGAGGGGAAAGAGCTGGTCGAATAATTTTGTGTGGTACCTGTATCTGACACAAATTCTCATCATCTATAAAATAAATAATACATTATGTATTATTAATTTGATTATTTTTAGCATTATAATGTGTAGTATCTTACCATTCAAATCATCTATTGTCGCTTTTCGTTTTTGTGGATTAAAGATTAAATCATACACTACGCCTGCAATGATTCCTCCTGCTCCTGGTCCAAACCAATAAACCTGCATAGTAAGTAGCTTAATAAAATAAACGTGACATAGTAAAATACTAGTGTTTATAAGTAGGTAATAACTAATAACTATAATAAGGGATAAAACAATTAGTGTTAAAAAAATGATTAAGTAATTATAAAAATAATTGTATAGGTACTGAAGATCCATTTAATAAACTTAACCCATTCATATATATCATCTATTAGTAGGTAACTCTCTGAATCAATGCGACAATTTTTGTATTTTACTTATGGAAAGCACATTATACAACTTGTAAGTATATAATTTGCTGTTCCTATACCTATTAAAATACCATTGTTTTAAAAAACTAATTTTGGATGTCGTAAGTCTTTCATCCATTTTTTATTTAATAACCCCTATTTTCAATTTACCATTCGGATTGGATAATGTTCACCACGATTTAAAATTTTTTAAACTTGCAAATTATCAGAATTTTTTGGTTGGACATAGGTAGTTATTTTGAAGTTTGTGATTTTCTATTTTTCGCCTTTCACGGATACCCGCATCGTGCACTGCTGCCGCTATTGGTACCTATATACGTGATTGTATTTTGAGGAGAGTCGCGTCTATCACTCCGTATTTTAATTGTAACAACGTGTCATACTTCAATTACCTTCTAATGCCTTATATTTTAATATATTGTAATAACTTATGATGCGAAAAAATGTAATTGAATATTGAGGTAGGTAGGTATTGTTTACGGTTGCCATTTTGAGATTTAGAGTTAAGATACTTTTATAAATATAAAGTTACGTTATTTATTGTCCTTATATTGTACCTATATTTTAATGGTCTAATATGAATATTAAAATTGAAAATTATTATTATTATTTAAGGGAATTCGATACCGTGATTTTTTTGTCTTTGTCTAACACACGCGTGACATAGAATTTTAGTCGTGTTCCTTCATTCCTTGCCAAACATACTGAATGATCCAATGAAACGATAAGAATTCTAAAAACAGATTTGAATTTGTTGCGAATATTACTTGAGATCGACTTTTCCACATTTTTAATATTATCCCCAAAATCATAAAAATGTTATAGTAAAAAAACTAAAAAGTAATTAAAAAATGTTCATCGCTTCACTATATCAATTAGTACGTTTGGCCAAGAACACGTCTAAAATCCTATGTCGCACGTATGTTAGACAAAGACAGAAAATTACGGTATCGAATCCCCATAACTATGAATTATTAGATGGTCGATGTAGATTTTAAAGTTATTTAAGAAATAAAAAGTTTAGAGTATATTCACTTATCAGTTATCAGTCTAATATACTTTAATTAAAAGAGCTAAAATCAGTATTCAGTACATCAGGCTTCCGCACGATACCATGACGGGGTGGTAAAGCGCATAATAAATAGTATATATTACTATAGCAAACTTTAAGGAGCTATAACTTCGAAACTAACTTGCAATTATAGGTTTGTGAAATGTCAATGTGTTTATATAAATATATAGGGTACCTATTAGGTACATTCCATATTCGTAGGTCGTTCCTATATATATATAACAAGGTAGTAGAACACAGGAGGTATGGGTAACTATGCACTTTTTTTTTTACTTTTATATTTTAACTTAAGTACCTAGGTACAATAAATACTATTTTTATAACTAATGAATAAGTAGGCAATTATATGTATTTAGTTCTGAAATGTTTGCCTCAACTGTTAGAATTACTCCGCTGACCTATGTTCTCTATCCCCACCCTAAAAACTACACTAATCCTGCGCCTTGGTGTAACAAAATAGGGTACTCGTTTGCTAAAAAAAAATATGTCGCATTAACAATAATTAATAATGATTAAACTTACCCAGTGATTATCCCAATGGTTCATCACAAGTGCCGGTCCGAACGCGCAAGCTGGATTAATAAAGGGCATCTGCAAAAAGTGATTCGTAGGGTATATATTTTATAAGGGATTATTGGATTTGTTCTTACCGCCACTAGACCGCACGCGAAGTACACTGCTCCTATTGCCGTTGCCGCAGTTCCGGTCCATTTGTGAAACGTATTATTAGTCACGTAATATGTAAACACGATGAAGAACATGAGTAGCAAGCCTAAGCTGAAACGTTGCCATGGGGTTGTGCTGCTGTTTGGCAGGTCGTATAGACTGGTGAAGTAGTTGCGAGCGGAAACACTAGAAACCGATAGTACCATGGTGTAGAGAATTTGATATCATGTACGTGATACGAACAGAGGACAGTATTATAATAATGAATAACGATTTATGTATCATACGACACACAAAATATGATATGGTGTGACGTATATTACAATATTGTTTACCTGTAGATTATCGCGGCTCCTCCTACTGCGCCTCCACATTGTGCGGCTATGAACATAACAGCTCTTACGGGGCTTATCCTTCTTGTGATCAGCATGGCAGTGGTTAAAGCAGGATTTATGTGTCCTCCTGAAAAGAACCACTTATAATCAATTAAAATGTCCAGTGATATTTAATGAACAAATAATAATTATTTAAGGCCATATCGTTGGGGTCGATAAAACTATTCTTATCTGCAATGACTGCAATTACCGGTTAGTATATATATATATTATGTAGGTACCTACGATAATATGCGTATAAATACAACTGAACAATTAATAAGAAAAATGCCAATGCAATTACGTGTTTTTTGTAAAATGAATATTGTTTCAAAAACATTATTTTTTTATAACTAATTCTAGAAAACGATAGGTTTCTTTTGATAATTTTATGTAAATAAAAGTCAAATAAGTAGGTCCTTAAAATTAAATATATATAATATACTATTGCTGACCCCGTGCACTTAATTGCCCCTAAAAAATGCTGACTCTTATATGTTTCAAACTTAAATTCATTATTATTAATATTCGGTGTAATGGTGTTCAAAAATTAAAAAATTAGAAAAAAGAAAAGATTTAATTTTAAATCAGAGGATAGCCTATAGTAGGTATCTATCTAAGTAACTTTTAAAAAAAATATGTGGTTACGATTTAAATTAGTGTAGGTAAAAGTATAGTGATCAAATATCAAATACAAATAAAAAAGATATCCAATCTGCATAATAACAATAATTGTATTATATGTAACCAGTGGCAATCATCTATAAATAAATCGCGAATCTCAAAATTGAAAATTTTGGAAAATCCTTTTTTAGTGCACCCCTACATAGTGGAAAGAAGGTATCATGAAAATGTTAAGTTTAGCTACCTATCAAAGTTTAGACTCTTCGTTTATCATTTGGAGTCAGGGCCGCATTTATATGGGGGGGGGGAATTGGCTACAATTGCTACAGGGGACAGTATTTTGGGGCCGCCAAAATTTTGTGATTGGAAATTTGTCCCCTTGTCAATTATTAAAACTTTTAAAGGGAGGGAGTGGCCGAGCGGATTAGTTTTAGAAAATATATTTTTGTTTTGATCATATTAATAATAATATATATCCATTTTTTTCTTAGGTACCTATGTATAAAATGTACTGTTGAGTGTTACTAGTTAAGTTTAAGTAATTTCAAGATATAGAAAACAACAATAATTGCTCCTTAATATTGCCTCGAAAAAATATTTTCCTATTTATATATTTAAATAATCGATGTTTTTGAATGTGTTAAGGTTGTTTGTTATGTCACATGTGTGAGACCGAGAAGGACTAGGAGACAATGGTCTGCAGGCTATGTGTTCTCGAAAAATTAATTATAAACAGATGTAGCGTAACAAATTCAAAAAATGTTTATCATACTTGAATATATTTATTGGTTTCCTGATTGGATAATGGCTATACAAGAGATAAGATAGTATAGTTGATAGTTATTTATTTTTATTTTTTATACTTATTTAGTTATTTCTGTAATGAAAATGCTGTCATTGATGAAATTTTAAAATAGTATAACTTATAAGTTATAAGTGAGTCAAGTATGTACCTACAATTTTACTTTTTCAAAAAAAATGAAGAATCATCATTGATGATAACTCCTGGTGCTAAATTTAATCAACTTTCTAAATTTGTTTTTTTCTTCTAACGTTTATAATAACAACGGCACAACAAAAACGCAATACGTTCCGACGTGACTGCCAAAAACACTGTTAGAGTTCTTGAGAATATATATTTTTGGCATCTATAAAGTTATAATTTCTTTTGACGGTCGAGCTGGCAATTTGTTTTCGCCATACCCAGTATTCTGATGGTCTACGCACTGCACTTGCTCTGACTATTGCATTGAAAACAGTGTAAACTATGATCATTGTGGTATGGCGCTGAATACTATAATATTATTATTATTATAATAGATGATGCAGTTTTCAGAATACTGAATTGTAGATGTACCTAGGCACATATAAGAGCTAACAATTTAACAATGGTGGGCATTAACTTGTTAAAAAGTTAAAGTTAAGTTAAAAAGTTAATTTTTTTTTAACTTTTTTACTTAACTAGTTAGTTTTTTTTGTTTTTAACTTATTAACTTATTCAGTTAAATTTTGTATTGTTTAAACTTAACTTTTTAAAGTTAATTAGTTAATTATCATTATTGTACAGTTAAGTTAATTAAATTAAATTTTTATCATGTGGAACCAAGAGACAAAACTCATTCTTTCTATTTTGCCATTTTGGTAATTTATTTTTCTAATAATATAATATCATCAATTCATAATAATCAAATTATATTATAATCTATAGGTACTATAGTAAAGACTAAAGAGTAATAATTAGTATACTATCCTTGTATCGACTGGCTATTTTCACGAATTCTATTATTTAATTATTTAATATTATTTAATAGTATTGAATAATCCGATTTTTGTTTTATCTAACTCTCCAATTCCTAAAAACAGGTTTAAAACTAAATATCATAGTCTTTAAAAGGATATCATTATATCAATAATATATACTGGTTACTGGTAAATACGACAATTCCAATAGACAAAACAAAAAGTCGTCCGAGATATTTATAAATTATAATTTATATTGCTGTATTCGTTATAAATACAAATAAACGTATGAGATTAGAAAATAACATTATCGAAATAAATATGGAAACAATTTTTGGTAGGTATTATACTATTATCATTATTCATTGATTTTATTTTAATAATAGACTATTATAATGGTACTAAATGACAAATATTTAAAAACAGCCTATACCTATTAATATTATGACTTAAAAAAAAAATTAACTTTTTTTAACTGAGTTAAGTTAATTTTATTTTCCATCTTAACTTTTAACTTAACTAGTTAAATTTTATTTTTTTGTTAACTTTTAACTTAACTTTAGGCAATTTAATTGAATTAACTTAACTTTCCACAGTTAATTATTTTCATTAACTTGCCCACCATTGCAATTTAACTGTAATAGAATAGTAGGTACCAATTGCTCAATCCTCAATGCTTATGAATTATGATTCATGAATGCCTTTAGGATATTATATAGGTATTAGGTACTGTACAGTGAACTGATATTATTATGTTAATATGTATATAATAAGTAATAACACGATATTAACGAGTTAAATGTTGAATCATTACTTTATTAGACAATATTAATCAAGTCACACAACGAATTACGTACTTTTTTAATAATTATTCTAACTTTTGAGAATTTTATTTTGTTTTTTGATTTAGATTAATTATGTTATAATTGTGTAAATAGCCAACGACCGTTATTATACCCGTCAATAGGCGCATTAGCTATATGAACGTCTAGAATTCATACAAAATACTAATTATATTCTGTGGGTAGTTGAATTAAAACAATCTTTGTAGGTACCTAACTATTTTATGTTGTATAATAATATGTATAATACGATAGGTACCTACCTATAATAAAAGTCATGGCAAAATAAAACAATAAGTCCTTAACTTATCGTTGTCTATGCGTTAACAATATAAAAAGGATTATAATTCGAACTGGCTTACTTGGCCAGCCTATAGTAGATAATCACAATAATTATATATTATAGTATTAGGATTTTTGGTGACGTGAGTTAACCGACTCTATATACTATAATACACATAAGCGCTCGGCGTCGCTATAATATACGTACGCGGTTTTTGCGCGACTCGCATTAATCCACCGCGCGTGAACACGAGGGTCAAAACCTTTTTTTACGTACAACAGATGCTCGCCAATAATAATATAATAATATACATTGTATAATTTATATACACATATTATATTATATATTATACTCACGCACGTCCGACATAATCATTATCTCATTGTCGCGCCGCGGTTCTCCCCGCCGCCGCCGCCCTTTCGGTTCACTTTCAGCCCTCATGCTTGATACACATATTTTATCGGTGCGGACTCTCGAGTGCCAATTGTCAACCGATACGGTTTTTTATCGCCACCGAAGAGGGCAATTTTTATAGATTTTTTTTTTACGAGAGCAGCGAACCAGGTCCGCGGCGAACATGTGCGCCCGTGTACATACGATAATAATAATAATAATAATAATAACGCGCCGCATGTATAATATAATATATCGTTTATATTGTTCCACCCTACACGACGGCCAATTAAACTCTGCGGTGGAGGGATGCGTATGAGTCGGGACAGTGGTTCATTGACACACCACGCCGTGACTCGTCGTAAACGATCTAGTTCGGGAACATTATACAATTAAAAAAAAAATCTGTGTGCGGTCTGTTACGCGTATAATAAAATATTTTATATTATTATATATATATATATATATATATATTATAGACGCGCTGTAAAAGTGGAAAAATATGTGTTAGGTTATATACACGTGAGTGATCCCCCCCCACGAGTCCACAAACTTTAACTTTTAAGCACACGAATCTATAATCCTAGAAGGGGTAATTGATTGCCTTATAAAAATCTATACGTAGAAGCGTCTTCCCACTTTGTAATGAATAGGCGTCTAATGATGGATAATAATAGGCGTTTGTATGATTTTTTTTTAAATAATTTAGAAACACATTTTGCATGCGAGCATATATAAATAATAATCGGAATTACACATTTCCACCTTGCTTAAACTTTAAAACGTGTTGCTTACACACGTTTTGTGCAAATTCCAACTTATTTTGTTTTTTATTTGATTTAATATATAATATATGATATACATAGTGTAATATATTTCATTATTGCTTGCGTTCCCTATAGGTTATTCGTTCGTTTATGGAAACTGTGTAATGGCGCAGGTGAAATTCCAACCCTCCGACGAAACGAAATAATAACAGAAAAAAAACTACCTATTAAAAACTCTATATACCACGCATTACGGAGCACCGGCATTTCCATGTCATAACATCGATTGCAATGGAGTCTACACGTAAACCAGGTGCAAAGTAGGTATCTATTATATTTTTATAACCCCCACCGGCGCGTTTTATAAATTACACTATTTTAGGTCTACCGCATTCAATACCTAACTTTATGACTATATATTATATTTATATTATATTATAATGTTCGATTAACTCTGAATTCGTTCATCGTTGCACCGCCTATACATACACTATAATTATTATTACTTTAACGAATACTCGATAACGTAATACATTCAAAAGTTATTAATGAGGTCGATGACCAATGGTTATCCCGGTCCATATCTTAGAGCTAGTCCAACCCTGTACACTAAAAGAATTTTTCGATTAAGCAACGACGTATGCACTTTTTATTATATTCTTTATGAATTTTGTTGTTGTTTTAGACGAATCATTTCATTCAGGTCTCTGTTTTTGTCGTATGAAAAGACGAGAGATCCATTCATGCTGCACATGGGAAGCACATTTAAATACTATACGCACTTCACGTCAATCGACGACTGTGAAAAAAAAACTAATCCAATTCAGTGGGGTCGTAGATATATATACAGTATATATAGGGTACACGCATACATAACAATATATAGTGTTTCGTCGTCTCTGCTCGCTATAATAGTTCTTTTAAAAGAAACAAATTAAAACTGCCGCTGCTGCAGCAATGAAGAAAGGAACTATATTATTATGCATATATACAATATAGACTATAGAGTATTATTCTGGCTAGAATCCAAGACAGCTAGCTGGCACGTTTTTCGATGTGAACAAATCGTATTCACGCTCGTTTTAATTAAATTAAATGGACTAATGATCAAACAATTATTATATTATTGTCGTTATTTTTCAATGCTAATATGTATAATATATTCTAATAAGTTGCAATTTCATTGACGCTCTTGCTTCCAACAATTCAAAAGTTCGTTTAAGCGATATAGGTATACCTATGAAGGCAACAAGCGACATGAATAATTAATTTTTTATTTTAGCTTTGGACACTTACTCGTAATAATATCTAGCAATGCGCTTAAATGTCTTGTAAACAAGTCACGTCATGCCTCTGCCAAAAAGTTTACCACCGTTCTTACAGTAAAATATTTTTAATTTTTAGCATAATATATATTTTGTGTAAGGATATCGGAAAGACGGTGCTGTATGCGTGTACCGGTGCGTACCTTTCCGGCCATACATCACAAAGGGATTTCGGAATCTCGCAATGCACTATACATATATACGCACATTGTCTTTGTGTGGCTCGCAAAAAACGCGCGAGAACGCGGCGAGACTTAACCGTTTCGAATTCCAACGAGAAAAAATTCATCAGACCGCAGCTGACCATATTATGCGTTGTTCTCTACGAAATCTCGTATATCATAATATGGGTAAATTGCGGTATTAGTTTAAAATGTATTATTATTGTTTCTGCCATCTGTGTGTCGGCGTGGCGTCCTACAATATTATTATCATCCGAACGTTAGGTACCAGGTAAATATCTACCGACCTATACGTCCATTTATTTACCTTTATTGCGTACGCCATCTTTACTCTCGTAATGGTATATTGTGCAGAATCACGAAATATATACCTTTATGAATTCCGCACATTTTAGGACAGGCCAGACGATTCACGAATTCGTATAAACGAAACGAATTGAAATATTTTACAGCAGCATTAGATGAAAAATCTGTTCCTGTCACTATACGCACACACATATATAATTATTATATATTTATGTAAGGTATATACAGACACCGTGTAAAATGTGTGCTCGTGAGGGGAAATTTGATAAATGTCGAATTTTACGGTTTGGTCGATCTGCCGCCGAAGAGTGCCAATTCTCGGTTTTATATACAAAAGGCGACGGCGTGCCGTTTGGAGAGGGTGACGATAATTAAGCACGGCGGCCACACATTATATTTTAATATTTTATACGGCATGTATATTGTATAGTCTTTATTATATAATATAGTGGACAGTAGTATGTATTGTGTTTTACTATTCTCTATTAAAAGTATAGATTGTATTGTGCTGTATTATTATGTACCTATAGAAAAAACTAGATTCAAATTCCCACTCACATCCGGCCCAAACATTTTTAAACAGGGATTGAAGATAAATTATAGTATCTCAGCATACTTATAGCAGATGTTTATAATCTTGACTAGAACTCGAATAAACGTTACAACTGTTACGCCTTGCGTAATAATATCGTTCTATAAGTTGATGTGAGTATAAAAAAATAATAATAATAGTAAGTACATTTTTGCAACTCTTGCAGAACGTATGCGACAGTGAGGAGGGAGTTTGTTTTTCGAGAATAATAATCTTTCAGCTGACGCTCGTGGAGGAGCTGGCGAGATAATATTGTAGTTGAGAACCCTTGAACATGATTTCTATTATTCAGTAAATGTTAACCACAGACTGTCTATTATATGGTTGGTGTATGTGTGTATACATATATATAATACGAATACGTGTTATAGGCGGAATGTGCAAGAACGGTGTTTGTATATCCGTCGAAAACAGAAGAATCCTTTCGACTGTGCCTATACCTACTCAAAACGATATCTATCCATTACAATACGTAATAATTCATTAGTTAAAATCAAATCATTGTTATCGGTTAATAATATTATATTATTCATATTTATTTGTTCGTCCATTATAAATTGTTGCCATATAATATATATGAGATATATACCCATTACCCATATAGGTTCATAATAATATTATATGTGTATACTGTATATAAATCATATATGGGTCATGGTCTATGGGTAATAACTAATAACTCATGACACTTTACGTTGATAATATACGAAAATATTAATATTAACCCTCTCGCGACGAAGTTCGTCTATACAATATTCTCCTCTAAACCTTCTTCTTAGTGCGTACAATATGTATAATATATAGGTACATGTAATTTGCGTGTATAATGTATATCATGTATGGTAAATCTACATCGTACGTGAATTGTTTTACAAAAACATATTGTATATACGTTCACATAAAATTTAATTTCTTCGTTTTGTTTCACAAACTCATAATATAATATTATTTACCATATACCTAAAGGTGAATAATAATATTTTTAAATAGTTTTTATTTTTAATTGTTTGATTTTTTAGTCAAATTATTTATTTTAAATACTGTTGGGCTGCAGTGGCGTATCTACGGGGAGTCATAACCCCCCCCCTCGGAGACCCCATATTGTACATAATACAACATGTTTAATGTTTATAATAATATGAATATATGTCATATGTGTATACTGAATATGTATATTATCTCCCTCCCACCCCCGTGAAAAAATCGTAGATAAACTACTGTTGGGCTGTATAGTACTGTCACAAGATGTATAGTACATTAGTACTGTCACAAGCTGTATATTAACCAACGATAACTGTATAATAATAATAATATATTTATTTAACAACTTAACGTAACTACTTGTCGTAATAATATAATATATGAGAATAGATGAATATATATATGTATCTTATATAAGAGCATTTACTGCAACATAATATAAAAGCAAACCTCATTGAGATATTAATATTTTTTTAATGACACAATAGGTCGACGGAAACACGATAATTGTATAATATTATGTCAACTGGGTGAATATAGCATAGTAAACCGATTGCCAGTATAAGAAATCTTGGATTCTTCACAGTCGGATGAATTCAAAATTATTGTAACAGTATAGACCCAGCCCGAACAGTCCGAGAGTCACGACAGCTGGGTAACTGGTTCTGTATATGGCATATTATACATTTCATATAGATACATTTAAAAACCTGCAGAAGAGATGATGAATGATAAAACGTAGGACTTTGACAGTAACGCAAAACAAAATGTCTTGGAGATATTATTATAGTTACTTAATATCATATAGGTCTATAGCCATGATGGCGGTTGAAACCAACTATATTCGCTATTACGAAGACTCGAGATTGTTTGATATATACGATATACCGAGATGGCGAGATCTTACTTGCAAAAAACACTAGTTGAGGGAGACGTAAGCGACGGTGACATTGGGACGATATGGTGGGTATAGTACGACAACAGGACAATGACGCGACTGGATTTAGGGAGAAAAATACGGGATCTGGATTTAAAAGGGACAACAATTAGGGGCTGCAAGGAGTCCCATGTATAGAGATCTGCAACAGATCTGTCTATAACGATTGACGACAAAGGACAAGAAAAAGGATAGCGTATGATATGTATACAATAATACTATGTTATATAAAATGTGGTACGTTACCGGAAACGTTTTGCAGGCACACGGTGAGGGCAAGCATGGTGAACCCGGACGCGGCGGCCGCACCGAGTACGGGTGAAGCGTCCGAAGTGGCCGCGCCGCAGACAACGGCCACGTACAGGAACGTGGCCAGACACTCGGCCATGACGGACCGCCAGAGCTCCAGCGTGCGGAGTTCAGCTTGGAGGGGCATTAGCGGCGGCCGGGCATCGGGTCTCCACCGCCGGCCACCGGAACCCGCCGACCACCTGTTCCGCTCCAGCCGCTCGACCAGCTCCAACATCATGTTGAGGTGGTGGTCGAGTTGGGCACTGTCGTCTTTGCGCTTCATAATGGTCGGGTGAAGGCGAGAGTACTCGTGCAACCGGTGTGCTACCTGCAGTACAACTTACTATCTTCTACTCTACAATACAGCGATTTTTTACTCTCACACTGTACTTCAGTACGATGGGTATAAGTTATCGCAGCGGTGCAATGCGGAGAGTACGTAATATATTTGTATCGACTGCAGAACGGTGTGCCGATGAGCGCGCGCCACACTGCAGCGGACGGACGATTGAGCCGACTGCAGCCGCGGGACGGGCTCTCCGGTGGCAGGTGGTCGTCGGTCGTGCCGAACGTGCCCGTCGAAAAAAAAAAATAATAATAACGAAAACCTAGAAAACGGGTGGGGGAGCAGATGAGTGTGTGAGTGGTGCGTGTGCGCGTGGTGCGAGAGGGAGAGAGAGCAGGAAGACCGTGCAAGCCGCGGCGACAATGGGTCGCGTTCACCCTGCGCGCATTTCTTTTTACCCTCTACCGCGGGGGAGTGCTGCAGGCTGCACTACTGAACTATTTAATATAGGTATATACATAATATGCTACAAGCACTGTATAATATACATACTATATAGTGTTTATATATAGGTATGTACAAGCACACCTTGCGCACACCATTCATCGACTGATGAACCAGTTTTGAGTGAATTTATATTATATAGTAGGTATACACCGCACCGAGGCTTCGTATAATTGTAATTAGGATCGCACGTAATAATAATATATTGATATGTAGATAATATACCGTAGCCCCAGGGCGTATGCGGTATAGGTTGTACGCAGTATGCTACATACGATTATCAATCATTATACTCATATAGTTATATACTTATATCGTTAAGATGGTATATTTAAATACATGGTCTGAAATTCGATGCACTCGTCAACACGAAAATATATATTTATGGCGTACACGCGCCGTTCGCGTACTAAATATTCTTCTTGTTTATAATTTAATATTATATTGTTATACGTAAATTATAATTATTACCATTATAGTACAATAAACTCATCAGTTGCCACGCCATATTACCTATATAATTTTAATATAGCCTACGGTAAATGGTAATGTGTATAGGTAGTAATATGCTACTATTGAATATCGCCTAATAATATTTTATGGACGACATTAGTTTATATAATACTATTAATATCGCAGCGGTAGTATCATGTATAATAATATATAATATTATATAATACGCGTCGTTTAAACTGCAGGAGGCGCTCCATCGAACCGACAACCGTCGCCGCCGCCGCCGCCGCCGTCTTGTGTCCTCGCCGTCGAGGCAGCTGAAACGGCGGTGAGTATAATAATTTCATGGCTGCAAATCCAGTTGTTCGTGTTTATAAAACGCACGCACGAAGTGTGCGGCGGCGGTGAACGCGGGGAGAGACAAATAATAATAATAATGGTGTATTATATTATTATAAAGGAACGCGAGACACACGCGAGGCACACATGTTGCGCTGCCGAAAGATTCTTCCCCCTATTTTGTGAATTACAAAAATTCTGGTTCCTTTTCTTCTTTCTTTCTTTCTTTTTTTTTTTTTTTGTCCAACGAGACAACGGTGACGGAGATTTTTCAAACATTTCTGTATTTTTGGCGAACGCAATGCGCCTCCCCGTGCCCGATGAATAATAATATGTACGATATAATAATATATATACCAAGCGGGTTACCCACCCCACACCCGAATAAGCAAAACCGTATGCTCCATGCACGAGAACAGCTGACGATTTTATAAAAATATATATAATATATTATATTATATAGGTATACCTTGGAGACGTGCATACATATAAATATACAATCTTGAGCTCGCTCACTGAGTTTCCCCCTTCTTTTTTTTCCAGTATTCTTCCACAAGTCTTTTGACTTGAAATATAACGTCTGCCACTGTCACCAAGCCGCCCCCTCACGATCATCCACCCCGCGGACGGATGTGCGCGTGACAACGATTTCGACACCGTCGCTTCAAACCCTCCCGACCCTGCACGTACAAATAACATAACGACTCACGCGTGTGGAGCATCGAGAACTATAATAATATACTACGTGGCCCTATATATATTACTGTATATATAAAACAAAAACAATAAAAATAAAAAAATAAAAAATACAATTTTCAATCCTGGTTTTGTTTTGTTTCGCGAAATTCCACAGTGCTGCCCTGTATCATATAATATAACACCTCCTCCGAGAACGTTAAATTTTATAACCCAAAAACTCGCATTTGTTACGTGGCTATACAAGATGATCTTTTTTATCGTGATATCAATAAATCCTTGAAACACATCCTATATACGCTTCAATTTTACTTAAACGCTGTACACTCTACATTTTTTCATTCAATTTATAATTCAAATATTTTTACTCTTAAAATTTAAAAATATATATACCTACATTATTGGATACTGGTTTACTATAAAAAAAAAATTATCTGAATACCTGATATAAACTATACTATTACTTGGTATATGAGTATTTTAGAATTGGTTCTTATTATTATAGACGACAGTAGGTAAGAATATTATTTTTCAAGTGAGAAAATGTTCGTTCTTTTCGCCGTCGAAAGGAATTTTCTACAAGTTACCAATAATTTCGTATAATATTATACCTTATATATTTAATGCGCTTGTGAGTTTATTACGTTCAAGCTGATATATTAAAATACATAAATATATATGTATATGTACATAGATCTACAAATCACCATGAAATGATACCTATATATGTGATTTTTTCGTATCGAAAGCATCTCATTGAAAGCTTGGCAACATATTTATAAAAAAAACTGTCCAAATACAGGGTGGCTTTTTCAACTACGATATATTTTCACCCCATTTTCCTTTCGTACTTATATCTAGATTATTCATTTATTCAATTTTAGATTTTTGATGTATTGAAAATTGAAATCCAAATTATTATAGAATTCACTTATATTGTTATGGTATTTATAGGCACTCTTGTGATAATACTGTCGTATTACCTATATAGAGTGACAATCTTGAATCTGCAGTATATGACAGTACAGACTTTTACTTTTCAAATAAGAACCTTTTTTTTATTCCTATGATTTTTCTGAATACTTAATCAACTATCAAATAGTCTCAAATTCGAATAATATTGTTATGGATAGTAATATAGTAAATGTACTAATTAGGTATTAGTAGTATTAGTAGGTTACTGAATACTGGTTACCTATCTATATCGTATTGAGATTGTCAGTTAAATATATATTTTGGTATATAATTATTATTACTAGATAATTAATAATTAATAATATTTATTGTATATTAAAGTTTATTATTAATAACTCAGAAACGAATAACTTATTTGAATTTAAATTGAAATACGTACATTTATATAACTATATATTATATAAAAACCATATGCCTTTGATGAAATTCTAAATAAAATATTAAGGTTCACATTTAAAAAACAAAAGTTTTCATCTTCACTTAAATATTCCAAAAATTAGAATTAGAATAAACGCATACTTATGTATATTATAATATAGGGTAAGCACGTGGTTAAAAAATCACACTATATAATGTGCATAAATCTTTACCAATGATATTAGATGTTTGAAAAAAACGTAAGCAATTGCAATGAGTGCACCTGACGCGGTATTTGATTTATATTGTAACGATAAAACCGATATTTATACATATAGATGTGTGTACGTGTGTACCTTGCCTAGTATTACAATACTATAAATATGCGTCATATTTTATTCATTTTCGGCTACGTATAAGCGTTTATATAACTGTATATACCCACGTATAAATAACAGCAGAACGACATGGGTGACGTACGAATATATGAATACGCAAATCGGTCGACAATTATATATACGTATTATATGAATCCGGAGTATAATACACAAATATATGCAATACACGTATTATAAATTATAATAATATACACATTATATATCATCGATTGACATAGATAATAAAACCGTTTAAGGCAAGCGAGTGCATAGTTGACGTGTTAATGTGTTATAGGTAGATACGATAGGTACCACCTAAACCAATGGGGTGTGTATATCTGTTTTATAAATACAAAATATTATATTATTATTGTAACGATATTAAAGTAGAGCAGTAAAACGAATGATCGGTCGAAAGAGATAGAAAGACAGAGAGAGAGAATCATAAGTATCCATACTTTTCCATAGCATCAAGCGCAGTTTATTAATTTGAGAAAATCGCCTAGAAAGAATAATATTATTATGGTTGCAGTGAGTATTCAGTTAGATAATAAATTGTTTTTATGTATAAAACCGTTCACGATCTTGTCGACATGTTGGAATTAAAAATAAAATGTCATAGTACCTAACGTCGTCGATAAACAATAATGTCAATATACAGGTCTGCAGATTAACTAAAGTATCCAAACATTCTAAACCGTCGTCGCCATAATTATTAATCAATCATTTGTATTTATTGTATTATAATTGGTACATCATTACTGCACGTTTTATTGCTAAATTTAAGTTATTTTTTTTTTAAATAAATTTTCCAAAAGTTAGTAACTTATTTTTACCCACAGAATGGTTCAATAATGTCAGATTTAAGCGCTTATAAATATTAAGCAGTAGGTATAGGTATGTAAACTAGGTAGATAAATATTATTTTCTATGCCTACGCTTCACCAAATTCCTGAATTTACCATATTATTATATTTTCTGCGAAAGAGCTGCAGTTATGCATATATTTTACTGAACATTTCCATCAGAATAATAAGCGCAGTGAGTGATGTACCTATCTCCTATATATTTAAATTGGCTCATTTAATAAAACGGTATTTTATAATATATACATTTCGGGGACAATATATCGATGGTTTTCACCAAATATTTAAATATATAAATAGCTGAAGGGATTTGTTTTATAAAAATAAATATTTATTTTCGCGAACAAATTACCTTTGGAACGTCGTGATTTTTATTGTATTCAGTATTTTATAATACGGACGGAAATGTAAATCATGCACTAGGTATTAT